AACTTGTAGACATTTTGAAAAATGATGTCTGATTTCAAATGAAGAGTATCATTCTATAAATGTATTATAGTAATTCTTTAATTGCAATACATCACTGTTTTTAAATATTTAGTGTGTGGTTTTAAAAACATTTTCCAGTGAGACTGGTGTAAAAACATTGCTACGATCAAAGAAGTTTATTAAAAATTGGTAAATTGTTGGAAATTTTGAAATAAAGAAGCAAAGTACAGCTTTATAGACATTGTCCGATAAAGCCTATATAGTAAAAAGTGTTTCTAAAGATTTGATTAACTGTATTATAGAAATATTTTAGTTAGACTCAATGTACTAACAACATATTGTGGAATTGTTTGTTTATATATTATTTATAATTATATTTAAAAATATTGTTAATAAGTGGGTATAAGGAATTATGTGTTTCAAAACGTACCCTCTGCTGAAGGTCAGTTAGAGTGAGGTCACCACTATTGATGGTATTCCTTCACTGCAGACCCATGGACACTTCAGGTTCTGGTATCGAGGTTGGTCTTTCTATTACATTGGGGTGTAGATTTTTGTTTCACAGCTATCAGTTAATTATCATGGGGTGGTAGTGACAGTTGATCCCGTTCTTCTGGGATTTTATTCCTGTTTATTTGTTGTGCCTGAGAGAAGGCATTCTTTGTTTCTCCCCACTCCACAATGGACTTCTTTCTCACCCTACATTGGCATTCTTCACCAGGTCCATGTATGCCCAAGTTTGTGGTTGCTGAGGCATTTCTCCACATTCTCATAGTGAATTCATCTTGCGTTTACCTATGTTTTGTATACAGGGATCAGCAATTTAGGAAAATGTTAACTTCCTGCACTCTTCTGTATATTATACATGTGTAATTGCACAATTTGCATTAGTTAATGCATAATGTATGGTATCAATGACAGAATCCATGCAACTTAATGCTGTGTTTAAAAACACTATATCAGTAGTGTCACAGGGATTTTTAATGTTTGTTTTATACATCTTCAATAAATGATGAATTTGGCAAGACAAACATTATAATTAACACAGATTTGATATACATAACAGTATAGGTCACTATTGCTGTTATTTAAAGTGGCAGGAAGTTGTTGCCCCTTGATTGGCTTATGCTGCTACTTTTTAGCAAGTAATGTACCACTCATGTAACTGTCATTCAGTAGGAAAAGCCTTGATATTTAAAAATAAAAAGTACTAGTATGGTTTTGGCAAAAACATGAGGTTTATAAAGTGTAGAGTGACTAATGTTTATCTTTTTACAAGAGTGAGTGGCAGAATAACACTTTAAACTTTAAAGTGTTTCAACCATGTTTAAATTAAACTAGTCTGACTGTTTTTTTTAATACACATTGATGATCAGAATTGCTCGTCTTACTCTGTACATCTAGAGTAAGGTCGTAAAGTTATCCCTGCACTTGAGAAGTTATTACAAACCCTGGTAATAGAAAATACTATGATTTGTACTTGTTACATGGACATTTATAATATGATTTCGTACTTGAAACCTGAGTTACTCAAAGTGAAATATATTCCTATTATTAAAATAATTTTGCACATGTGTTCTTAGTGTAGACAGGGGCCTGTCATAGCACTTGACTCACAATATGAGGGTCGGGAGTTTGAATCCCTGTCACCAAACATGCTTGTTCTATATGATTGCCATCTTGGCCGGCCACCCAGGGGTGAAAATTCTTGGCTTAAAAAATTACTAGCTGACCCAAAAGTAGTTAGGATTAAGGTCATTACAGAAAAGAAATTCCCAGCATAGACATAATAGGTAATAATTCCTTGTTGCATACTTTTCTTTCAGGCTCTTGATCTGGATTCTACAAATCCAAAAGCTTTATTCAGAAGAGGTCAAGCTTTTCATGGGAGAAGAGATTATGACAGAAGTTTGGTAGGTTATGTATTTTGTAATTTTTTTTTCTTATATAAAGGTAATGTCTACCTAATAAATTATGTATCGTGCTACATGTCTATGAAAAACAATAATTATAAGTTTATAATTTCAGTTTTGATCAAAGCAAGGTACTTACATATGTCAGAACTAAAAATTAACCCTGTAATTAATGAAGCTAATTTAATATACTTGTCTTACTAGGAGTACATAATGTCATAAAACAAAAACTTACAATGTTTAGAAAACATTGAATTATCAATTGGGTACTATCACCATTAGTGATATTTTTAGGGTAAATAATTTTTTATTTGGTCCCTTAGGAATATTTTGATATCTTTTTGTGATCACTCCTCAACACAAGTGCAGTTTATGTGTATGTGTGCTATCTAGTGTGGTTATTGAAACCAAACAATATGACTGCAAAGATGGAGAACAAGAAAGATAATATTAATCATAAACATCAGTTAGTTTTATTTTAGTACAATTTTTACAGTATTTAATCATTTCTCAAATGTTATTGCCCTTTTGTCTCAAAACTCAGTTAAATGACAAATAAGAAATCAGTCATGATCAGAAGAACATGGAAGCTCTAACAATAATGCACTGTGAAAAATGTAGATACAGCTTTCATGAGCAAAAAACATTACCATAGGGCATTTAAAGTGTTTTAAACATTTTTCTAAGGCATTTAACAATGCAGGTTAATGTAAACATCTTTGGATTTATACAGTAGCAGTTTTTCACACTCTGCTCTTAATGTTTTAACAGTGTTTATTCTTTTTCACTACATCATTTCTTGGGCTAGGAGTTTTGGTGACCTGTTGAAATAATGTTTTAATCCTTTGAGTAAATTGTGTGTGAAAATTTAGTTTATGGTTTTTTCTCTACAGATTATTAGATGACACTCTAAGAAAACAAAAACCGGATAGTACTTAATATTTACAAAGAAAGATTATTATTTCCTACATTCAGAAAGAACTAGAATACATCAAAAAAGTGTGTTTTGGTGGTTAATCAGAAACATTTGAGACAAAAGACAAATACTTTGTTTATGATAGAAAGTAATAAACATTATTATAACAAAATATTGAGCTAATAATGATGAATTCTGGAGATAGAGTTCTTTATTTTATTTATATATGATCGTGTGTGGAGTATAATCAAAAAATGTAATTTCCTGCTAGTAAAAGAAGTGTATAAACAAAAACTATGTTGTAAGTAATAAAATATACAAAATTGTTCTCTTTATCATAATATAGAGAGATCTCCATCAAGCTTTGAAGTTTGCTCCACATGATAAAGGTAAATTATGATTTCAGTGTATGTGTAGTTATACATTTGGCTAAGATATATACTAAGTGCACTTATCTGCTGCACTTGATAAGTTACATTTTACTATAAACATCTAAAATATATTTTATTTTCTAGTTTTAAAGGCTTTAAGTACACTTTGCTCTTAGTTTAGTTTATGTATGTGTTAAAATATGGTTATTGTTACTTGAGCATGCATGATGTAGTCTTAGTAGCAAGTGTTATAATTATTAGTGAAATATCTTGCTTCCTTTTTATAATTTAAAAAATAATTCTTTTGTACTATTGATAAAGTATCTTTTTTTTCACATTTTAATTTACTGTTAAATTATTTTTGTATTTTATCAACTTTGTTGAATATATACATATAAATACACATATTTAATTGATTTTAATTTGTTTTTAGTGCTTCCCTATTCAGTGAAAATAAGGAGTATTCTTTCAGGAATTTTGTACAATTATAGATAGATTAAATACTTTCCATTTAGCCATTAATATATTGGTTTAATTTAGCATATGTTGGAAGGAAACTAGACCTCAGAGCATCTTATGGAATTTTTCCAAGTTTTCCACAACATTTTGTTAAATATTTAATATGACTGTTCTATTACAAGTATATTAATTTTTGCTCTTGCAAACTTTGTTCTTCTAATAAGGTACCTTTACCTCCTCTTACATAAAGCTTTTCTCATTCAGTGCTGCCCTCTATATGCAAAATTATTTGCTTGCCACTGACCTTGAAACTACCATCTATCCCATGATCAGTGTCATTTACTGCATCTTCGCATTTAAATTATTATGTGACAACCTTTCACCAATAGTGTGACACACCCTTCTGACACAGGTTACTCCAGTTATTCAATTTTGCCTGATGGGCATTAGGCAGTTGGCAAGTTCAGACCTGCAATTTTGTGCAATACTTATTTTATTTTCAAAGTAGTACTTTTCAAGTTTCTACAGTTATTTGTTAATTGTAGTTTATTTTCAAGTGAACTTCCCTATTTATTTTTTCTTTGGTTTGTACTTTCTTTTTTCTTAAACCTTTTTCTTGGATTCCCAACTCATTCACAGTCAAATATTAATTCCGAATTTCATGTCACTGCTTCTGTACTA